TAAAGTCACTAACTCTTACAGTGGCTAACTCAATGGGTTGGGAGAATTTGAAATCAATGATTATGCATGAGTACTTCTTGAGGAGTGAATTACAAAAGATCGAGCAAGAGCTTTGGGGCCTTACCATGAAAGGCACCAATATAACAACTTACACCAACAGGTTCAGTGATCTAGCAATCCTATGCCCTGGAATGGTTACTCTAGAGAGCAAGAAAATCGAAAGGTATATATGGGGATTATCACATCAGATTCAAGGGAGTGTGTTAGCTTCAAATTTTGTTACCTTCGATAGTGCCAAACAACTAGCACAGTCTCTAATAGATCATGGAGTTCGTCAATGCTTCATGATTGTTGTTCCAAAACAACCCAAAGTCAACAACAACAACAACAACAACAACAACAACAACAACAACAACAACAACAATAACAACAACAATAGCAACAACAACAACAACAATAACAACAACAACATCAAGAAAAAGTCATGGAACAAAAGGAAGGGTTAATCTTCCCAAGAGCCCTCCAAGAAACAACAGATAGTGGTTGTTCATACTGCTATTGTTCCTAATGTTGTTCCTGCTACCCCTGCACCAGCAAAGCAGTATGATGGTAAATTACCGAAGTGCAACAAGTGTAATTTCCATCACAATGGAAATTATCAAGAAATGCAATGTAGGAATTGCAACAGAAAAGGGCACACTGCCCAATTTTGTAGGTTACCTCCACAACCGATCACTCAAGTTCCTAGCGTGGGAGACGTATGCCTAGCGTACTGAGGATTTTGTAGCCCCGCCACATCCGAAGTTCGGATAAGGATCAAATTAGTACACCCTGTGTATGAGATGTATGCCTAGCGTACTGAGGTTCACATTAGTACACCCAATGCACCAAGGATTTACGCTTAGCGTAATACTAGACCTTAGCCTCCTATAAATAACATGTGAAGCCTCCGGGTTTGGTTTACAATTTCCAACTATCCTCTCACCTTAAACACCCTTTTAAGCCAATTTTAACCCCCCGGAGCCTAGGGAAAACCCTTTATCACCCCGAAAAAAGCCTAGAGCCCCGAAGTCCTTGAGAAAATAATCTTTTCCAGTCGAAACTCTACTCGCATGAAGCTCGATTTTTCATCAGAAACTCACGGTTTCGTCAAGAAAAATCATCCCTAGAAACGAAACATTGCCCAAATCACCACTCATCGAGTGAGTTCATATCCCTGCGTTTTTACTATTTTTGACTATTTTAAGAAGGGGAAAATACAAGTCTAACACAAGATTATTGTGATTACAAATAAATGATTTCCAAATATATCCAAAACAATTTTAAATGTTTTATAAACTCCTTTTAACATATATTTTACCAAAATAATATATATATATATATATATATATATATATATATATATATATATATATATATATATATATATATATATATGAATTTAAAAGTTATTTCAATCATATTTATATTCCCTTTGTAACATGTTGAGTAAAGGGGATACTTTCATGAATATTACACGTCGAACAGAATACACATATAAATTATAATAGATATAGTTTATGGAGCTCTCAAACTATTTTCACTAATCAATTATACAAAGTTTAACGGTAAACTCTCGTACAAATACTTTACAGTCAAGTATTTTAGAAATGGGACATACTATCAGTTCATTTACTTTGAAATGTCTTTTCATCATTATTATATACGTAATCGTCAATGTGGTTTTTGTGAGAAAATGTTCAATTGCTTATTTATTTAGGCAATACTATTAAAGTCCTGATATTATAACCAGAATCTCCGGACACAGAGCGAGACAAATGTGTATAAATCTATACGGGATTGACAATCCCGCACTTAGACTGTTCGCTACAGTTGGGCTAGTATGCTTATGAGTGACAAATGTCGTTAACAGTTCCGACGCCTACAAAGCGTCATATTAGGCCATCTAGTCATACCATGGTTATAATGACTCACAAAAAGATATGAACAAATACGATTAGTATATAACTAATTAAACTAAAGATTACGAATATAAAGTACTGGTTTTACAATAATACGATTTATATTATTACATTACGATTTACAATTACAGCTGGTGGAGCCAGACATACTCACATTTATAGTGTTTTCAAAGAGTACAATTACAGAACTTGGAAAACATAAACAATTCAGAAAACATTCTTTTTATAGTTTTATTGTGAACTAAAACTATATGATACTATTTTATAGTACAACAACACTTATACATAACGATTTTATGGTATTAAAACTAATTTTCAGTTACAATAGAAAACATTGGATTTTTTGGAAAAGTAAAAATACTCATTATTTCAAGGAACATAAAACAAGCTTTTAAACATGAATACTTATGCACTCACCAACTTAAATGTTGATTCTCTCTTTTCAGAGCACTTTTATTCTCAAGAAACCAGTAGACATGTACATCCCCAGGATTTTTGAGAAGACGGAGCAGTTTAGAGTCATGTCTTCTATCTTTTGTTGTATATAACTTTTTAGTGTCGATATAGAATGATTGAACACACATGTAAAAACTTATACTTTATTAACACAATGTTTGTTGTACTTTGATTACTATAATGCATGTGTTATTATACTTAACATAAAATCATCCACCCCCGTACGTTTCCGCCGCTCCGGTTTGGGGGTGTGACAATAACTTAGGGTTTCACTAAATTGCACGTATGTCCTGCGTACATATACGTACGCCACACGTATGTGTCCGGAGTCCCGATCCCACCTCGCATCCGTACACTAAGCGTATCATGTGGTACACCCTGTGTACTACACAAGTACCAAAAATGAAATTATTAAAAATAACAATGGTGATAATGAAACATACCAAGATTCAAGTGTTACACGTAAGTAGATCAATCAGTACAACAACTTGGAATTACTGATGCATCTTATTTATAGGTTCATTATAACGACTTATGACCATAAATATAAGTTATACTGAAAGCGATAAGGTGTAGCTTAACTTACAGAGCTTTTAAGCGAAACCCCGAAAAATGCATGGATAGAATCTCGAACCGTCGGGCTCCTAGAGCTCCAAAGTTCCTACTAAACAACCTAAAAGTTAGGAGTAAGCCTGACTTGAAGGTGGAGAGGTTTTTGAGAGAGATTTAGAGAAGTTGTGAGAAAGAAATGGGATTTTCGGCAACAATCTATAGGAAATCAAGGGGGAGCGTTGTGCACACCAGCCTTGCTGGCTCTAGCAACCTTGTGCCACGTGTCGACGTCCGATGCTTCCACCAATCATTACTTTGTAAGCCATCATGTGTCACTATTTCTTGGTGCCACATGTCGCGTTTTCCTTGGGACACATCTCTCGGATGAAGCGGCCCCCACCATGCCACGTGGTGCCCTCTCGTGGGGCCACGTATCAGTGCGCGCGCGAATATCCTGATTTTCAAAATGCCGTAACTTCTTCATGCGAGCTCTGTTTTGGATGTTTTTTATATCTCCAGAAAGTTGTCGATGAGATCTAAAACTTTCATTTGGACTCTACTGACTAATTTTGACTATATTTTAAAGTTATATATTTAACAGGCTTAGGTTGTTAAAGTCCATTGAAAATTTATAACTTTCTCATATGATATTCGTTCTCGAATGTCTCTATATCAACGGAACCATATAGATGAGATCTTCAATTATTGTTTAGATTGTTTTTCCTAACAATCAACTGATATCTACTTCGATTTTTTAACCGTATATTGCTGTGTTGAAACTTCGAAAAATCATAATTTTCTCTTACAAAGTCAAATTTGAACGTTCTCTATATGCACGCTCTCGGTTTAATGACTACTAAGACTATCATTTAGATCACTTAGGCTAAAGTGTAATCTATCGAAAATTCACTTTTTAGGATACGTAGAGTCGTGTTGGTTTAATCGCGAAGCTTCGAAGAAACATAACTTTTTCATACGAAATCAGATTCCAACATTCTTTATATGTATGAAACCCTTGTTACATAAACTATAACTTTGGTTAAAGTTATTTATCATAAATAAAATTCTATCAAAAAGTTTATTTTTATAGCTTATTCTTTTTAATTGATTAGCCCGAATACGGACGTTATAATTCATATGTAGGTTATGTATATAATTAAGCACAAAATCATAAAAAAAATATATTTAAATGTAGATAAACTCGAATTTAAATCAACACGCGCATAAAAAAACAAGTAAGTTTTTTAAAAAAAAAATGAACAAATATTCTAGATTAACGTCAAAACGTTGACCGCCTTGAATTTATACCGATACATCATACACATATAAAAATACACATAAAAAATTAGTTTTTTTAGGTTAACAAAACAAAATTATTATTATGAAAAACAAATTATATATAGTACGAACGGATAAAAAGGAAGTTTAGAAAAATAAGCGGTGAAAATAATATTTTATAAAATTTAAAAAGAATAGATCAAAATGATATTTTAAAAAATAAAATGAGAAAAAATTAATAACTCGTAAATATAAAATATAAACAAAATTACGTTATCCAGTTATCTATTATCTATATCACAAATTCGGTCCCTTTAATCTGGAAATTTGAGACAATTATCCTTACACTAACACAAAAAGTATGGGTATAACAAAGAGTCCATTCAAGCAGCTTTTGTAAACACAATGTTTGTAAAAAAAAATTAGCAGAATTTATGATATTTGTTAAATTGCATGGATCATTTATGTAATTTTGTAAACAATAAAATGAGTTATAACGACGTGGCATTGCCTGATTGGTCTAGTTTTAGGGGTTTTACATGTAATGTAATGTATATTCTAGGGCTCTAAAACCCTTCAACACTTCACCGCAAAAACGCTGCCAAAACCCCTCGTCGGAGCCTTCAATCTCGGTATTCGTTGCTTAGGTGAACAATAGTATCCTTGCGTCTGTAGTTTGTGTACTACGATCGTATGCTTAATTAAAGTTCACTTTATAGATTGTAGAATCGCGTTTTCGAATTGAAAAGAGTAATGGGGAAGCTTGGGAAGAAAGCTCGTAAGTTTGCCAAGAAGAATCTCCCTTCCGTGCTTAAACAAAGAAGAAAAAACAAGATTGTTTTCAAGAAAAGACCTTCAAAAAGTAATATTCTCTTCAATTTCTCTTCGCATACACAGATAGTATGTACTTTGTTGTTTCTTCCTTAATAGTCAAGAAATGCAATGTTTCTTCGGTTTGTTTATTGGTAATTTCGTATTAGTTGTGAGGATAGAGAAGTGTTGGAAGTAATTACTCTTTCATCTTTCATCTGTGTTTGACTAGTATGTGCTTGGGCTCTATGAGCTGTTAAGACTCACTCACAAGTTTTAATAATAGCCACCAAAAACTCATCTTTTAATGTATTGCTGCAGAAGATAAACAAGATGTTGCTGAAAAAGTAGTGAAAACAGCAGAGGTGTCTAATGGAAGGTAAAACAGTGAACTTATGGCATTTCTGAAAACTCTGGTTACTGTTTATTTTCCATTCAAAACATACAAATCCTTAATGTCATGTAATATCGAGCTTTAATTATGATTAACAGGGACACTGAAAGTGAAGTCACCATGACTACTTCTCTTGATGCTTTATTTGCTGAGAATGACAGTTTTATGGTTTCAGATGATTCTGACAGTGATGGATATCTTTCAGAGGTTAAAGACTTACCAATCTTTGCAATGTTTTACTTGAATTTGAAAACTTCTATAGACTTATTTTTTTAATATACATATAATTAGGACCCAAGCAGTGAAAATATCACAGGAAATGACAATGATGTTACTTTAAAAGGTTAGTCTTTTCTATTTTTCACCATATCTCCATATCACTTTTAACATTCTGTATTTTAACTGATTAACATCTTTGTAGATGACAGGGATAAACATACCTTATCTATTCAGAATCAAAAGATCTATGAAGAACTTACTGAACAGAAGAAATCATTGGACAAATTAAAGAAAAAAGTAAATTTATTCCTTCAAACAGAACACCATATGACTTCCCTTTGATCATTGTTGTTTTTCCTATCTTTAGTTATAAATGTTAATGGAAAAATTTATAAACTTTTCAGGATCCAAAGTTTATAAAGTTTTTAGAAAGCTACAACAAGGACAAGATATCAAAAACTCAGGACATGGTAAGAGATCATTCTTTAATATACATTTTCTGTTGATCACTAACAAAATGACTAAAATACCCTTGGTAACAGTATTCCGATGAAGATGAGATCGGTGAAGATCCAACAGGGTTGGATGATGATGATGATTCTGCTACAACCAAACACAAACTGTTGACATGTTCATTAATCAATTCATGGAGTACATCAGTTAAAGAAGATCACAGTGACTCAGCTTTGACTAATCTTGTAAATGCATATCGAGCTGCATGCCACCTTGGACATGAAGAAACCGAATTTATAATTCAAGACAATGAGACCTTCTGTAACATATATACATTCATGCTTTCTGAAGCTGATAATATATTCAGGGGTTTGTTAAAGATTCCTTCTGCCAATCGCAAAAAAGATAGCATATTGGAGCTAAAGAATACCCCTAGGTGGAAAAAAGTCAAACCAATGGTCAAGTCTTATTTGAGGAGTACATTATTTCTTCTGAAACAAGTCACCGATTTGGATATTTTGGCTTTCTCAATTACTCGATTGAGAGCCTCTATTATATTTTTCGCTGCTTTTCCATCTTTGCTGAACAGGGTTATTCAGGTAATTTGGTAAATAAACTTCAACGTTTCTTTTTGAGTAAATAAACTTTTTTCACATGTTCTGATTTTTGTATTTATCGTGCAGATTGTAGTACCTTTATGGGCAACAGGAGGGGGGACACTTTCTGCTACTTCTTTCCTTGTGATACAAGATGTGGTTTCTGTGTTTGGGTCTAATTACTTTGACACATGTTTTATCAAAACATACAATGCTTATATTGCTAGATGCAGGAGTATGGAAACTGTTGATGCTAAACATATTGAGTTTTTGAGGGACTCTTTTGTCAATTTATGTTCTCTTGATGTTGAAAAGTCTTGTAACAAGGCACTTGTTTCAATTCAGCAACTTGCTTATATCTTACGACACACAAAGCAGAAGGAGAATAAGGTATGGAATCTGTCAAAGGAATGGAATCTTGAATTCCAATTCCGGAATGTTTCGACTTTAGAATTCTCGTTTTTTTTGGATTCAAGTATTTCTTTTTGTCACTTATGATTGATTGGTCTCTTGTTCACAGGAAGCAATCAAGAAGATATACAGCTGGCAATATGCTCAATGCATTGACATTTGGGTTCTTTTCATTTCAACAAATGGAAATGAATCTGATATTCAGCCATTGTTGCAGATGATAATAGAGCTTATAAATGGAATATCCAACCTCTTTCCTGGATCAAGATATATTCCTTTGAGGACAAGATGCATTCAGTGGTTAAACAAACTCTCAAATTCTTGTGGGATTTTTATCCCTGTTGCTTCATTGATCTTGGACATGCTTGAATATAAAGTCACCAAAGAGGGTAGTAAATCAAGAAAATCGGTTAAGTTAGCATCAAATTTAAAGGTTAGTTATTAGTTATTACTTTAATTTGATGTTTTTTTTGTATGCTAACAAGTTTTAATTTTGTTTGTTGTAGCTCCCGAAATTTTGGTTGAAATCACAAAACTTCTTGGAGCAATGTGTTTATACAGCTGTTGAACTGCTTTCAGCTCACTTTCTTCAATGGAGTTTTCATATTTCTTTTCCTGAATTAGCAACAATTCCACTCATCAGATTAAAAAAGTTTTATGAGAGAACTACAGTTGAAAGTTTGAGACGTGTAGTGAAGCGTCTTATGGATCAGGTATTTTTAAAAATAAGTGAGATTTTTGTAATAAATATCAATGTACTTTCTTGAATGAATATTTTTTTTAAAAGTATAATACACTAATAGGTATAAATTATAAAACAAAGTAAAGTATTTTGCTATTTCTTGAATGAATATTTTTTCATTGCGTTTTGTGTTAATTTGCAGGTGGAACAGAATGTTGAGTTTGTGCAGAAGAAAAGGGATGACGTGGCTTTTTCACCAAAAGACCATGAGTCTGTTGATCTGTTTTTGCAGGTGTTTTGTCTTTTTAATGAATTTGATTTGATTTTTTTTTTATGAAAGAAAGTTTCAGAGTTTTTGTCTTTGATGCAGTTTGAAAAAGCCTTGAATACCCCATTTACACAGTACTATAAAAGCGTCGTAGAAAAGGCTGCTTCAAAGATGTCTACAAGGTGAAAATATTTCTGCTTCATTTTGATGTTCCTTTTTCAATTTATATAAAGTATTATTTTTAAATTATAGATTTGGTGATGTTTAATTTGTAGTCCTGTGGAGCCAAAAAGAATGAATGTGAAGCGAAAGAAAACAGAAACAACAGCAAATGGAAGTCTGAAAGAAGCTGATGCTAATGCTAATGTTGATTCAAAGGGGAAGAAAAGAAGAGTTGTGCTACAAGTAGAAGGATGATGAGGGCCCACTTTTTTTTTTTTTTTTTTGCATTTTAATTTATATTCTACTCCATGCAATTTTGTTTTTGTTTTTTTTTTTGATATGTTGTATTTTACAGTCATTGAATTTCATTTTTAACACTAGTTAATTTGATAGAAAACGAAAGAACACTTCCCCCACCTTAATCACTGAATGAGTTTGGTTCGCATTAGTTCTAGTGGTTTATTATTATTATTATTATTATTATTTGAACATACTGAAGTTTGATATTAGAGTCTTCACCCTCCAAGATAGTTTTATTTAGAATTTATGATAAAGTGAACTCCAATCTTCCTTTGTTTTTGTATATTACAAGTTTACAAGCAACAGGAATCCTGAAAACGTAGAGATTACTCTTAAAAAAATCGATTTTAAGGCCAAAAGCTATGAAAAAACATCAACATCAAGAAATCGTATTAAGGCCCTTTGCATTTGTTGATAACCATTCGCCAATAAATATTTGTTTATGACCATTCCCCAATTAACACGGTGCAAATGATTGATAAGCATATTATATTCATATTTAAAATAAAATAATACATTATAATGATTAGTGAAACATGGTGCGAATGATAGGTGTTCGAGTGTTTTACAAATTTTTAATATTTGAAAAACCAATTAACAAATACATAGTAATAATAATAATAAAATCGTATATTGCTTCAATATTAAAACCTACAATAAAACAATTTTTTTAATCAAGTATACCAATGTTTTTTTTCTTTTTCTTTTTTAACAAATTACTTATAATATTCACGATTGGTCCATATGCTTTGTAAAATATGTCATGTTGAGGATAACTATGAAAAGTGTGTAAGTGTTTGATCCTTATAAATTCAAAACCTTACATGATTTGTTATTTTATCCAACTCTATCAGAAATGAAACGGTAAATATAATTAAAATGACCAAAATACTAATATATCTTTTTTGTTATTTCAGTATGCATGTTATAAACTATGGCAACTACGGCAACCAAATATGTAAATAAAAGAGAAAGTAAATTACATAAATAGTCCATATAATTTAGGGTAATTTGTATGTTTGATCTTTATTTTTTTTATTTTTTTTTAACATTGTGGTTTGATTTTGTTTCAGGTTTAATCTCTATCAGACCTAAAATGACTATTATATTCTTTATTATTGTTGTTAATATTATTATTGGTTACATTTTTATAATATATTTTTATTAATATATACATCCAATTTTCAAACTGACTTTTTTCTTTTTAATTAACTAAAAACATTGTTCATAAAAACTCATCACAAGAAAAATCACAAGCATCAAATACAAATCATCATAATATCACAGTGTCCCAAAATATCCAGAATCATAATTTGCAAGCAAATGTATACAATCAAGCATTTGCCTTCGCGCGATCATCAGAAGTACCTGAAACACATGTAATTAACAATTGTAAGCACGAAGCTTAGTGAGTATCCTAAAATACTACATACAACACAACACAAATAAACAACTATGAGTTATCAGCAACACTGGAGACAACCCGGAATCTCTGTGGGAAAACAGCACGCACTGTGGGTTATTAGCAACCTAGAGACTACCCGAAGTGTCAACACACACAACAACACATATCATAATATCATCAAATAGACCCATCTGGTCAGCATGTGTGTGTGTGTGTGTATATATATATACACACACACACTACCACACATGCAATTATAGTGAAAAGACCCACCTTGTACAAAAAGAATGATAAAACTCATACCCGAACTGCCGGAACTAAACTCCGCCTATTAATCGCACCAAATAACCCTAATTAGCAATTAAGGTAATTATCCAAACTCTACTAGTCCCAAGCCAATTCTAATCCACAATTTAGGCAAAAGACCATTTTGCCCCTTCCACAACCAAAACCGTCACTAATTGACCAAAAGGCACACTTGGTCAAAAAGTTGAAGGTCAACACAGTTGACCGTACGCTCGGCATACCAAGGCTCTACGCTTGGCATAGAGCACAAGGTCTTGAAAACGAGTTTCCAGATGGCTATACTGGGCGTACCCAAATTTATAGGATCTATTGCTCTCATGATTTTAAAACGCGTTGTGATAAGGAAGGTATCCACACCACTTTATAAGAAAGTGTTTCATTTTCCTTCCAAGCCGATGTAGGATCAAGTGCAACCCACCTTCACCCTCATTATAGGGATCGACGTCCCCGTCGAACACATCAACCCCTGCCCCAACTCTGATACCATTTGGGTTATCGTGGACCGGATAACCACAACCGTGTACTTCCTACTAATTAAGGAAACATACAAATTGGAGAAATTGACCAAAACCTACCTTATAGAGATAGTGTGATTGCATGGTGTACCTATATCGATTATCTCTGGTAGAGATGGTAGATTCACCTCGAGGTTCTGGCAGTCACTACAGAAGGTACTAGGAACTAGGTTGGATATGAATACAACCTACCATACGCAAACTGACGGACAGAGTGAGAGGATTATTCAAACTCCAGAAGATATATGTTGCGAGCTTGTGTGATAGACTTTGAAAAAGCATGGGATACTCATTTACCCTTTGTCGAGTTCTCCTACAATAACAACTATCACACTAGCATAAAGGTTGCTCCAAATGAAGCCCTCTATGGCCGCAAGTGCATATCACCTCTATGTTGGGCTGAAGTGGGTGACACACAGTTATCTAAAGGAAAAGTCCCTGACATCACTCTCACTGGTCCAGAAATCATCTGAGAGACTACAGAGAAGATCATACAAATTAGAGAGCGACTGAAAGCCTCGCGAGACAGACAGATAGCTATGCTGATAAACGACAAAAACCCTTGGAGTTCCACGTTGGCGACAATGTCTTATTGAAGGTCTCACCCTGGAAGGGTGTAATACGCTTCGGAAAGTGTGGCAAACTGAATCTAATGTACATTGGGCCTTTCGAGATTATCGCGCAAATCGGCCCCGTAGCTTACAAACTTAAACTACCTCGAGAACTTCACAACATACACCCTACTTTCCACGTGTCGAACCTAAAGAAGTGTCTATCTGACGAGACTCTTGCTATCCCACTCGATGAAATCGAGATTAATAAGAGCCTTAACTTCGTGAAAGAACCCGTAGAAATCATGGATAGGGATGTCAAACAAACCAAGAAAAGTCGTATTCCGATAGTGAAGGTTCGCTAGAATACAAAGCGGGGACCAAAATTCACTTGGGAGCGGGAGGATAAAATGAAACTTAAGTATCCTCATCTTTTCCCTTAGTCCATGTGTATTTCTTAGTCTTAATTTTGGGATGAAATTCTCTTTAACGGGGGGATGATGTGACAACCTGAAATTTCTTTTCTTGTAAGAGTCAAGCTTAGTTAACTAAAGGTCAAACTTGTTTCTTCTTTTATCTTAATTAAATTACATTAATGAGTTATAAGTGTTTAGACCTTGTATACAAGACTGTTTTGGAGTTGGAGGAAAATCATTTAGGACCGAGAACCACAAATGAACCTTCGCATGGCCGAAAACACCCTTCGTTCTCGGCCGTGAACGAACTTCAGACCGTGAACCCTCGGTTTGCGGCCGTGATCTCGCCTCAGACAGCAAACACCTCCACGTATATGTGTATATATATATATATATATATATATATATATATATATATATATATATATATATAAGTGTTGACTGATTTTACCTCACTTCTTCTTCTACTGACGGAAAACCCAAGCGGTTTTCTCTCAAAACCTTCAATCATAAACCATCTTTTCTCTTATCTATCATCCGAAGATCCTTATATCACCTTCACTGACGGACACATACTGTTTTAGTAGGGGTGTCCCTTGTACTTCAAGTTGGTGCACATAATAGAAAAAACCAAAAAAAAATTTACACTACGTATCGAAAATTGAGTAGTGGCCCATGACCCCCAATGCTCCACTAAGGTCTGCCACTCATCACCTTCGGATCTTGTTGTGGATCATCAAAGTTCATCTTTTCTTCAAATCAAGCATCCTTCATTTTGGGTTTACGACTGTGAACCCTTGATTCTCATTGGTATCACCAAGAACACACATTGAGATTTCAGCCGAAAACATTTGAATCTTCAAGGGCTGAAAACCCTTTTCGCCTGTGAACACTGAATCCAACCGTGAACATCAAGTAGCTTCTCGATTTTGGCCTTATCACCTATTTTTCAATTGATTCTTGCATCCTAGGTTGTTTCCCTAATGCCTTATAGGTTATACTCACTAATTATATATATATATATATATATATATATATATATATATATATATATATATATATATATACATATATATATATTGCATAAATTGTTATTTAAGTCTTGATTTGTCCCAGGAGCTTTATTGTGGAAAAAACATCCCATATCAAAAATTCAATGGCACTACTCACATAAGGTGAGTTCATACCCCTACAATTTGTTGGGTTTTCTACGCATAAAATACACTCTAAAACTAGGCAGCGAAAAAATCGAAACAACGATATACCTAAGTGTACATGCATCCTGTGGATCTATGGCTTCATGCCAATTACATCAACCCTAGAAAACTAAAACATAAGTAAGAAAACATACCTCTTATGTGGCCCTTGATCTCCATGCTTGAGATCTTGAACCTCCACGAAGTTGCTTGGATGAAAGGACCCAAACCAGAATCCCTCTAATGGTATCTACCCAATGACACCATAGAGTGGAATAAAAATAACTAGGAGAATGATCAATTTCACAAACCCAAAGGGGTTAGAAATCGTCCTTAAGAGGGGGGAAGAAGAAGGGTTGGCGAAACTTCAAGCCAAGGTGCAAAGAGGAATGAAATCCTTAAGGCCCTATTTATAGCCTTGGATCCCTCCTAGGGTTTAGTACTCCTTCCTACATGGGATGGAGGCCTAACCACTATATTTCACTCCTTTCCCATGTGGGATGGAGTGATTTTCATCCAACCCTAATTCCATAAGGTTCTGGAACAATCCTGATTAACCAACTATCGATTAATGAACGTTCAACCCTTTAATTAATTAAATAGTTAATTA